TATATATACAATTGCTCTAATGTACTATATATTTATAATATATATATTTATTTGTGATTCGATACAGGTACCGATGACGGAGATCTCAATTTCAACTATTTATCAAATTTCGGACCAAGATTTAGAAAACTCGCCGACATGTACGGAGAAGAATCTAGTGATGAAGAGAGCGATGGCGTCGGTGAACGTGAAAGTGAAAGCTGGTGTTGAACAGCGAACGACTTCGATAGACTTTAATGAATACTTAACTCTTAACGCAGTCCAATGCCATGCTGGACACAACAGATTCTTTTTCCAGTTCCATTAATGCTGTTATGCCCAGCATGACATTAGTTTAACCCTTTGACTGCGGCGCATTCTCGTACGAAATCATCAATATATATATATATATATATATATATATATATACGGTGCGATATTCGTAGGTCAGTCTCTATGGTGACTGGCTGTTGCACATCGTTGAGCTCATTTATTTATCGTTCTCTATAGACAGCGTATATATATATACGCCTTTCGTAGTCAAAGGGTTAAGGAAAATCATTCCTGAAACACCTAAGCTCGAAGCAAAAATTGAATTTCGTGTCTATGGAATGAATGATTTTTTTGTACCGAGAAATTGATTCAAATTGACGTTAATATAAATGGAATGACGTGGCTATCAAATAAAAGATCTAATCGTAACGTTGTTTTCCACTCACGCATATCATCCGCATTAAAAACAAGTATACACATAATAAAAAAAAAAAAGACCTCTGATATTTCATTATCTATTTATTCAATGAGATCGTTGCTTCGATTCTTTTCACGATGATATAACGGATCTGTTACTTGATGGACCGATAACATCAAATCGTGCCAATTTCAAATATCAATTTCTCGATTCAAAATGCAATCCTTTCAGCGATGGAAATTCTTACTTCGAACTTTCAGCGATTGCTGCTGATTGTTAACGCTGGTACCGACACTTCAGAATGAAATACGAAATAGGTAAGCCTAAAACACGACTACAGGAAAATCTAAATATAATTTATCGAAATAATTGTGTTGTAAAATAGACTAAATATATAATTATGTAGTTATAATAGTAATGTATGTATCTGTGTATCGCGCGTATTAGGAATGTAATTATAATATGATTATGTAATGATATATTTACTCGATCTTATATTAAAATTATTTTTTTAAATTATATTAATTTTTTCCTATAGTTGTTGTGTTAGCCTACCTATTGTGTATTTATATATCTGTATATAAATATATCTACATTATAAGTTGATTCGAGCGTAATAAAAGCCTATCATTTCTTACATACATTATTAGCACGCAATAACTTTCGCACTTATCTCTTGACGATCGTCATTTTTCATCCTACTTTCGTCATTCTCCATTCCATACCATCGTTGTCGAAAAGCTATAACAGAATAAACATTTCACAAATATATTTATAAATCATCGAGATAAAAACCTCTTTGCTAATGCAAATGATTTACGGAAAAATTAACTGAATACTGATTACATCTAGTAAGATAAATCTTTTTTTAATTTATTCCTTGTTTTTTTTTTCTTACAATTATTTCTTTTCTTTTTTTCTTTTTATAATAATAATATTAATAATAATAATAATAATTTTGTAATATATTTGTAAAAACATTCTAGACTGTTCGAACGCACTTACTTATCCATCTTGTTTGAGCAGAACATTACGATCGAAGAAAGAAAAGAAAACAAGAACTCATTAAAACGATCAATCGTATCCAACTGTTACGATAATTAGCAAATTGATAAGAAGCCCGTAGACCATTCTTTCATGTTGCTGCAATAATCAAGAAATTATATATATTGCATTTCATTTCGCTCAACTTACAAATATTACGATCTACGTTTTGTAACCAATAAAAAACTAAAATATAAAAAAAGAACTTGATAATAATCTTTTGTTTTCATATATATACATTAATTAATATTATCTTTCTCGATTAAATTATTTTTACGTAATAGTATTTCATTTTTTGATCGAAATCGTCATCTCGTCAAATTTACACAGCTGTCGGTAAAGATAAAATTATTTTTATCAATAGAACGTTAACACCTATCTAAATTATAGAAACCCATAAGAAATCATGTGTGAGAAAACAATCTCAATGGCAATTGCAAAATTAATATTTTCTTTCTTATTTACAATTGTCCCTTTTTTCCTTTTATTTTATTTATTTATTCATTTATTGAAATTATTACGGAACAAATTACAAATTATATTGATCAAAGAAATAGAGAGAAAAGATTCGGTCTGATAGTAGATCATTGAGCAATAGTTGGTATTGCACAAAGAATAACAATGGGGGTCAATCTTACGGTCTTCTCGCTACGTACATTGAAATTAGTTAGGGGTGTACGTTAGGGGTGAGATAATGACGTAAAAAAAAGACATAGGAAGATGCCAAAGGGGTATAAAAAGAGCAAATATACGATCTGTTGCTCTCAAACGTATTTGCGATCCTGTTCGCGAAAGGAAAGCCTGTGTGTCATTTAAAGTTATTATCCTGAAAGAGAATATCAGCACGGATTCAAATATGTAAGTTATAAAAATTGAAAAGAACCATTATTTCAAATACTTTTATTTTTACTCTTTTATTTCACTTATTTCGTTTCTTTTCTTTAAATAATTTCTCCGCGTGGCAATAATTTTTCACATAGCTTAGCAATGAAGAAGCATAATCAAACGCAAATGTTGAAATTAAATATTCGTTTACCTTACGACGTAAAAACTCGAGTCGTAGATGCTTATTATTTATTTAAGAATCAAAAAGGCTCCGCTTATCAAATGAACGTGAATATGTATTTTTAGGTATTCCAAGAGCCGATTAAACGTCATTACCACGATACTGCTCGCAAGTTTGATTCTTTTGGTTTACCTTCATGAGGCTGAAGGGCAATTGAACTTTTCAACAGGTTGGGGAAAAAGAAATCAAAATATACAAACTGGCATTTCAAATAATCCGAGGTGTTTACCACAACAAGGAAGACCGTCATTGGAACAATTGCTTAATTTGTATAATTTTATTCAGGTAGATGATACTCGAATAACGTTTGTTTTCTGATGTAACATTTTCAGATTATTGCAAATGTTTTTTTCAGATCGAGGCACAGAAAATCATAGAATGTCAAAAGTTAAACAAATGAGAAGACGTTCATCTGACCAACGAGACATCATATACCCTAGGATCATTCGAATATTATAATAATTAGAAATATCTAAGTTATATATAAATATATATATGAAAAAAACAAAAAAAATTAATTCTCCAATGTAAATTGTCGAAGAAACAATTATCGAAAGATATGAGATAAAAAAAGAAAAAAAATAGATATTATTTGTCGCCCTTATTCCGTTAATCCTTTCGAAGTATCTCGAACATTGATTAATTCATTTAGATATAAATACATTAATTTCTGTCGCGTAATTCCTGACATGATCCCTGATGAATTGATTTCTTTTTCGAATGTGTTCAATTGGAAAGTCTCGTGAAATTTTTGTTGATTTACTGATACGACGAACAGTCAAGGCAAATTAACGGCTTAATTGTATAAGTACATACATATATTTATGTATATATATATATATATATATACATATATACATATGTGCATATATGCATATATACATATGTATAAGTATACTTGTTTGATTAACTTTTACATCGTACAATATAACTAGAAGAATATCATTTCGTCGAAGAAAAGCAAGAATAACAGTCGATTTTTATCCACTATCGGTGAATGCTCTCTTTTCGTTTTTTCATTCTCGCCTATCATAGGGGCAAGAAAAATTATAACGATGTGGAGGATCCTAATCTATCTCGTGACTACTTATCTAACGCTTAGCCATGGTTTTCCTAATCCAACCGAGAATACATCGGAAATTTCCCCAGTGGAAAATGGTAATAAAATAGAAAATAATTATTATTACGAAGATTTTTTGTTCTTTTATACGATTGAAATCATTTAAACTAAACCTATCATTATAGAAAATGAAGAAAGTTACTCCTTGTTCAAATGCACGTCACCGGGTTTATTTGCTCATCCTCACAATTGCCGATTCTATTACGAGTGTATTTTAAATCAACGTAACAAGTTTCGTCGTTACCTTCGTCACTGTGAAATCGGATTTGTTTATTCGGTAATCTATGGAAAATGTACTCTGCCTGATGAATGTGGAAGAGCAGAATGCGGTGATACAAATGTTACAACCACGACGAAACCGAAACGGACCCGTAAAACCAAACGGACTCCGAAAACGAACCCAACGACTACACCAACGCCGAAAACGAAGCCTACTACAGGTAATAAAATATGTATTTATTATATTTTGTCAGGTAAAAACAATGACAAGAAAAATACGGGTTCATTAACAAACGAATTTCATATTCTCTCGCGTATAATATTCGTAATATCGTTGTTGTTTAGTTAAAATTAGAACTAAGAAAACGGCACGACCAACTAGGAAAACTACTGTTGCACCGACAACAACACCGGAAGATGAAAGTATCAGTACTACTAATCCACCTGGACCAACAGTACCAACGGTAGTGGAATGTATTGAACAAGGTTTCGTAGAACATCCTTCGGATTGTACGAGATATTACATGTGTATGGCAAGAGTCAACAGTACATTTCGAGTATTTGAAATGATATGCGAAGGAGGGACAGTATGGGATCGAAAAGCGGAAGCTTGCAAACATCCTTTCAGAGTACGGAACCCTCGTTGTAGCCCATTTACAACAGGTAAAGTAAAAAAAAAAAACTTTCTACCACATAACATTTATGAGATTTGAAACTATTTCGAACATAATTTGAAACTTGAAAACTTTTTAAAGATAGGACAATTTCGTGTAAGTTTTGAAAGCTCGATGAGTATTCGATATCTTACGAGATTATTTATAACACATTTTCAAGTATTATTATTAACGTAAAAAATATTTTATTCGAACGTTCATAAAAATGCTGCTTCCAGTAATACGTATTAAGAAAATATCTTATCTTTTTAACTCTCTCTCTCTCTCTTTCTCTCTCTTTCTCTGTTTTATGGGTTTGAGTTATATTTCTCTCTACGAACAATTTCTCATATTTATTCGATACTATCAAAACAAAATTTTAAATCTACTGCATACGATTTTTGTCTTCTGTTTCTCCGAACGGATCGTCACCTATTCGTTTTACTAATTGTTCCCACGTTGCTTGACTTTAGTGCATCAAAGTACACAAAATATGTGAATTTAAAAAATATTTGAAATTGGAGAGGTATTTCGTATATATTTGAATACCTTAAACCTTTTTTATTTTTTTTACATGGTTTTCTTATAAGGTTTTTTAAGAAACATATATATCTACAGAATAATAAAAAAATCGGGTTTATCTCATATTCAGTAACATGATATAATGAACAAATGCAATTTGTATGTCATGGAATTAAGGGGTTGATAAGAATTTTGATCATTTTGAATCTTTTTACGAAACAAGTAATAAAATAAGAAATCAAAAATAGCGATGTTAAAGTCGATTTATTTCACGCACAAAAAATGAATTATCTTTAATGCAATAAAAGTGACGAAAGACTCGAGACTTATCAGGACTTCGAAACGTATGTCAATATTTTTAAGCTGCGAATTATTTTCGAATGGTCGAGTTTTTCTTCGCGTATAAGTTGTCTCAGAGTGAATAGGAAATTTTTTAGTGGTTATTTTAGCACGTCTAAACAACAAAAACATGATTAATCTGTCTTTATTTTCAAATCTAAATAATAATTCTTTTATTAGATAAATAAAACTCAGTAAAATAAAGGAACAAAAAAAGTTTCTCACAAATTTGAACACAATTAGGGCATATACAAAACTAATTGAGCCAGTCATTGATTAAACAATTCGAATAAAGCATTTCGAAAATTGTATAAAAGAATGCGCATATAAATTGTTGGAAAACAAACACACTATAACCCAAAACTAAATTCAAACGGGACATACATTTCAAGAAATATTTTTTAATATCTATATGTTATCAGGCTAATCCCAAAAATCTTCCCCACATCTTCTTAGACGTCCTATAAATCGGTTTCGGTAAAAAAATTTTAAGTGTTCCAAATACTATCGCTACTTGAAACACATACACTTAAGGAAGTACTCTTTTAAAAGAAAATAAGAGTATACAATTCCTAAGTTTTATTACACTTACGCAAAATATTTATATAATGTTAAAACCATTTTATCTTTAAAAGATCGAAACTAATGACTAGTACAAAACTACTATAAAAAAAAAAGAAAGCCCAGATATAAAATCAATATTAATCTATGTATTGACATAAAGAAACAAAAATGCTTAAAAGAACATAAACAAAAAAAAAAAGAATTAATCAATTGCAATCGAACAGTCACAAATACACATAAATACAGGACTTAGCAATAAACATAAAAAAAATTAAGATATGTACACATATATAAAATAATACAAATTCTAATTTTCTATCCACAGGTAGACCAATTACAAGTATTACTAAATCGACAACGAAAGAAGAAACTGATACAACTGATACTTCACATGCAGAATCATCTACAGAACCATCGAATCAAATAACAACGATATCACTGACAAGTAGCACTTCAACTCAAGAACAAAGAACTTCCCAGTTGACAACAGGAAATCCAGAAAATGAAATTACAGAAACATCAACTGAAGAGCCTGAAACGGAAACATCAATTGCGCCATCGTCCCAAACTCAGACAGAATCACAGGAAAATTCAAGTTCAGTTACAGTAACTGAAACTGACTGGCCGCCAAGTCAAAGTACAGAAGAAGAAGCTACTATCCCCACTACAGACCAGCATATAACACAAAATGTATTTGCATCATCGACACAAATTCCAACAGAATCAACAGAAAGATCTAGTTCAGTTTCAGTAACAGATGCTGAATGGTCATCTAGTCCAAGTACAGAAACTGAAAATACATCCACAGCTGCAACCGAGAGAGTAACAGAAACTGCATCTGCATCATCTACAC